ATGAACACCCAGGACTAATCTCCTTTAGGATGGACTGGTTGGATCTCCTTGCAGTCCAAGGGACTCTCAAGAGTCTTCTGCAACACCACAGTTCAAAAGCATCAATTCTTTGGCACTCAGCTTTCTTTATAGTCCAACTCTCACATCCATATAGGACCACTGGAAAAACCATAGCATTGACTAGACGGACCTTTGTTGACAAAGTAATGTCTCTGCTTTTTAATATGCTGTCTAGGTTGGTCATAACTTTCCTTCCAAGGAGTAAGTGTCTTTTAATTTCATGGCTGCAGTCACCATCTGCAGTGATTTGGGAGCCCCCCAAAATAAAGTCAGCCACTGTTTCCACTGTTTCCCCATCTATATGCCATGAAGTGATGGGACCGGATGCCATGATCTTAGTTTTTTGAATGTTGAGTTTTAAGCCAACTTTTTCACTCTCCTCTTTCACTTTCATCAAGAGGCTCTTTAGTTCTTCTTCACTTTCTGCCATAAGGGTGGTGTCATCTGCATATCTGAGGTGACTGATATTTCTCCCGGCAATCCTGATTCCAGCTTGTGCTTCCTCCAGCCCAGCATTTCTCATGATGTACTATGCATACAAGTTAAATAAGCAGGGTGACAATATTTAGCCTTGACGTACTCCCTTTCCTATTTGGAACCAGTCTGTTGTTCCATGTCCAGTTCTGACTTGCTTCCTGACCTGCATATAGGCTTCTCAAGAGGCAGGTCAGGTGGACTGGTAAGCCCATCTCTTTCAGAATTTTCCACAGTTTATTGTGATCCACACAGTCAAAGGCTTTGGCATAGTCAATAAAGCAGAAATAGATGTTTTTCTGGAACTCTCTTACTTTTTCGATGATCCAGCGGATATTGGCAATTTGATCTCTGGTTCCTCTGCCTTTTCTAAAACCAGCTTGAACATCTGGAAGTTCACGGTTCACGTATTGCTGAAGCCTGGCTTGGAGAATTTTGAGCATTACTTTACTAGCGTGTGAGATGAGTGCAATTGTGCAGTAGTTTGAGCATTCTTTGGCATTGCCTGCTTTGGGTTTGGAATGAAAACTGACCTTTTCCAGTCCTGTGGCCACTGCTGAGTTTTCCAAATTTGCTGGCATAGTGAGTGCAGCACCTCACAGGGTCATCTTTCAGGATTTGAAATAGCTCAACTGGAATTCCATCACCTCCACTAGCTTTGTTCGTAGTGATGCTTCCTAAGGCCCACTTGACATCACATTCCAGGATGTCTTGCTCTAGGTGAGTGATCACACCATTGTGATTATCTGGGTCGTGAAGATCTTTTTTGTACAGTTCTTCTGTGTATTCTTGCCACCTCTTCTTAATATCTTCTGCTTCTGTTAGGTCCCTACCATTTCTGTCCTTTATTGTGCCCATCTTTGCATGAAATGTTCCCTTGGTATCTCTAATTTTCTTGAAGACATCTCTAGTCTTTCCCATTCTATTGTTTCCTTCTATTTCTTTGCATTGATCCCATCACTTTATGGCAAATAGATGGGGAAACAATGGAAACAGTGACAGATTTTATTGTCTTGGGTTCTAAAATCTCTGCAGATGGTGACTGCAGCCATGAAATTAAAAGACGCTTGCTCCTTGGAAGAAAAGCTATGGCAAACCTAGAGCGCATATTAAAAAGCAGAGACATTACTTTGCTGACAAAGGTCCATCTAGTCAAAGCTATGGTTTTTCCAGTAGTCATGTATGGGTGTGAGATTTGGACCATAAAGAAAGCTGAGCACTGAAGAATTGATGATTTTGAACTGTGGTGTTGGAGAAGACCCTGGAGAGTCCCTTGGACTGCAAGGATATCAAACCAGTCAATTCTAAAGGAAATCAGTCCTGAATATTTATTGGAAGGACTGATGCTGAAGCTGAAGCTCCAATACTTCGGCCACCTGATGTGAACTGACTCATTTGAAAAGACCCTGATGCTAGGCAAGATTGAAGGCAGGAGGAGTACGGGATGACAGAGGATAAGATGGTTGGATGACATCACCGACTCAATGGACATGAGTTTGAGCAGGCTTCGGGAGTTAGTGATGGCCAGGGAAGCCTGGCATGCTGCAGTCCATGGGGTTGCAAAGAGTTGGACATGACTGAGTGACTGAACTGAACTGATGTCAATCTTGAAGAGCATAATGCCCTGATAAAGTAAGAATTATGCCCAGGGATTTTTTTTTTTTTTTAGTTGTAAGAGGGAGGGCCTGAGAGAAATGAGGCTACTCTATCTCAACTGGAGTAGGAAGTCTTTTTACCTCCTTTTCATACTATATGTTTGCTACACAATTAAATACAGTTTTGTAGATTTTTCCAGCTGTTTCAGGTGACTCTGGCATCCCAAAGAGCATAGGGATAATTCCAGTCAAACACACTGGTGTGAATTTGATTGAAACTGAAGATACTGGCTTAATTTGAGGGCCTTCTGCCTTTTCTCACAAGCACTGGAGGAGCCATTTCATTTGCTTTTTACCTTTTAGACCCCATGGAGAATGATCAGAGCACAGGAGTCAAGGACAGGTGGGCTTGGCACAGAAAAGGCCACAACATTATTTAACTGTAACTTGGTCATTTAGTGGGCTGTAGTAACCAGACCTGACGTCACAACTGGCGCCAGAGGGTTTACACAATCACTGCCATTGGTCACCATACCAGACCTGGGACCTTACACACTTCCAAGTCCTGTCAGGCAAGCTGTGTAGTGCATGGCCTGAAGCCATGTGCAGCCTCTCAGGAGCTCCTCACAGGAATGCTTTCACAGGGGCTGTTTCTTCTACATACCAAACAATAAGGGCTCACCTAAAAATAATTAAACCCGACTTAACACTCTTTCTGCTCTCTGTGTCATAATTAAGCAAGAATGAAAGAAATCTTAATAGGATTGCAAGCAGGTCTTGTGTTCCTTAATCATGTGTTAGAGACTTAGTCAAAACAGGTTTATGAAGGCTCAGAAACACCATCCTTTCTTTTCAGGAAAAGCGAAACTAAAGCGGTCCTGCACTATGGCCACTGAACTCAGTTCCATTCCCACCCACGTCCTGTTCCCGTCCTCCCCACTCTGCAGGGCCTGGATCCAACTCCTTCCTTACCTCCAGACTCTAGGGATCACCCTCTCCTCTGAGTTTTCCTGGCTTCAACACCTCCACCCAGAATGTAAATACTCAAGGCTGTTTGCTGTGGAAGTTAGTATAACCTCCTCATGCCTTATTGAGTAAAGTCCTCCACTTGAGAATCACCTTCCTTTTGGCTGATAACTCCACACCCAGAATCTACCTCAGAGTCAGGTGAACATCAGTTATTCTTTAAAATCATGATGACTGGTTGCCATAGGAAAAGCCACATTTTCTAACCATTAAGCTGGGAGCTTATTCAATGATTCCTCATAAGATTTTTTTCACTAGTAAGCTAAGGTCCTTCAGTGAGGTTAAACTATGATTTGCTTTGGAAAAATTAGATGAACATACTGTCATGTTAAGTGAGATGTGCCATGGTCAACTGCATGGTTTGGGAATTGCTCCCTTAACTGTGGCCACCTGACACTGGCCTAAGAAAAATCTCTGAACTACAGAGGAAAGCCCCTTCTCTCCACAGCCTTACCCTCTAGCCACTCAGACACAAATCTCCATGTCATTTGGTCACTGTTCTGCCACAAAGGAAACCCATGGTATCATTAGATACCATTTTCTGCTTCAAGAGCAGTTGCATAATGAGGACCCTAGCGTTGATATTCTAAATGCACAGAGGAGAACACTGCTGACCCTAAAGACATCAACCCCACTCCTCATTCGCCAACACTGCAAGGAAGCAGAGCCTCCGCTGAGGCTCCCCAGGTCTACCATGTACAGGTCCCCACAGAAGGTCCCTACAGTTAGACTGGACTTCTCTTGGGATGTTGGACCTCTTGGCAATGTGTCCAAAGAAAGAAAGCTAATGTGGAGCCCTACTAGGAAAGCAGCTCAGATAGTAAGAGATAAGGCACAGCTGCTATGGGCAGGGGAAGATGCGGTAACACAGCATGGTATCAGTGCAGTCCCCACTAAACTGGAAGTCCCAGAGATGAGACAGTAGCTCGACTGCCAATACCAAGTGTCTGTGGGCCAAAGACTTACTTCTCTGAAATCTGATTTTCACACTGGTGCAAAAAGAAGAATAGAGAGAATTTTTAAAAAAAATCTCCCACCCCTCCATCTCTGAGAGTAACCAGCTACTATGTGTGAGGCCCTTGATAGGCACCATGGAAGATAAAGAAATACAGGAAAAGTTTCTCATTAATTCAGAATTATTCTCAGGCGGAGAAAAGAGGAAAGCTGACCTCATGGCTGACTCCATGCTTACAGATTATTTTCATTTCTTTACTGCCACCTTCTGGTCTCTAGGCACCTACATGGTAATTTTAAAATGCTACCTTAAATTTGTGATTCATGATGGATTTTTTTTTTTTTGACCATGCCATGTGGCTTGCAGGATCTTAATTCCCTGACCAGGGATTGAACCCCCAGCCATGGTGGTGACTTGTTCACATCCTTTACCTCATATGATGGTACACAGATTAGACATAGTTCAGGTGGCCTTTATTGTATTTTCATTTGATCTGAGGGCAACGACAAACTTAAGTGATTTGCCAAGTGACAAAAAGTTAGGAGCAGAGCAAGGATAAACCATGTCTGCTGTTTTCTCCAAGAAGCAAACACCAGGGTTATTCACTTGACTTTCTTTGTCCAGCTACACTCATAAAGATTTCTATCACCCTCTCATCCCTTCACAAGTACAGCCTTGAGTGGAAAATCCCTTACTCTTAAAAAAGAGAATGCTGTTCAAATATTCCCTGACCTTTTCAAGGGTAAAATTCATTCCATTTTACAAGGTCCTTGAGAAAAGAATGTAGGGGATCTATGATTGATTTTTTAAATTTTATCTGACAGTCAAAATACTAGTATCCTCTAGCACAACCCTCAGATGGCAGTCCACCAGCTTCCTCTTAAACATACCTTGGTCTGGAAGCAGCAATAGAGTTGGGTTAGGTATGGATGTTTTCGAGCCAGAGCCAAAATCCGCTTCTCTGTCATCGTGCAGTCTACATCATCATCCTGAAGGATGACATCCTTCTTTAGGACCTTCACAGCATAGACTTCATCTTTGCCTTTGAGCTCTGCCAACATGACCTGTAATTAACCAAAACAACCCCGTAAGTCTATATATATAAGAAATTAAAAGAAACCCAAGTCAATACCAAATGCTTTAAAAACTAACTCATTTTATCTTTAATTTCAAATAGTATTATAGTATTTAAAATGTAAAGACTATCCATCCCAATACAGCTACTATAATTTATTTGTTTTTAATCTCTAGCACTGTGTCCAGGCAAAGAAAAGTTCAATGCACATTTGTTAAACAAATTATACGAACATATTAATAATTTTTCATATGTTCATATAATTTGTCATACTTGCAATGAGTACAGCAAATATAGCATAGATTTTTTAACTGAACATTATTTCATAAGCATTTCTCTATATAGTCTCCATCATCGCATGGTTGCTGATATTCAAGTATATCTATAACAGTTTATTTAACCATGTACTTCAAACTAGTTTCATCCAATTATTGGTGGTTTAGTCGTTAAGCCATGTCTGACTCTTGTGACCCCATGGACTGTAGCCTGCCAGGCTCCTCTGTCCATGGGATTCTCCAGGCAAGAATACTGGAGTGGGTTGCCATTTCCTTCTCCAATCCAATTATTAAGTATTATATAAATAAATTGCTTCTGGTGCTTTATACATATAACTTTTCTTTCTTTTAGGTCACATCCTTTAGAAAATCTTAAAAGTGAATTATAGAATTAAATGTGTACATTTCCTGACTTTCAAAAAGGAGATACTATATAATCTGCCACTAGTAATGTAAAAGTGCTTTAGTTTTATGTACATTCACTAATGTGGTGCTTTCACATAAAAAGCTTTGCTTATATAATGAGTGTGAAATGTTTCCTCAATGCTGTTTTAACTTGTAATGAAACTAAAAATCTTTGTTTTCTAACTATAATTTCTTTTTGTGTGAATTATTATCCTCTGTCCAGTTATCTACTATTTTATACTACTATATTCTTTAGGAATCCTTATGAGCTTGGTATGTAAAGTTACTACCACTTTAATTTCTGCAAAGGTTTTTCTAAACCTGCCATATGATTTTCTGTTATTTTTTCTATTGAACAAGGTCCTCTATCTTTTTGTAGTTGAATCTGTCCTTGTTTACCTTTATGATTTCTTTTATAGCTTTAAAACCAGGAATGTGATTCCTTCTCTAGAGAGTGAATTAACAGCTCTATTTTCTTAAAGTTTTCCTATCATTTGATTTTTTTGCATTCATTTCCCTACAAATGTGACAAGATTTTCTCCCATTAAATAACTTGTAAATACAGTATTTCAGTCATCAGAGCTAAAGAGCAGTAACTCAGAAGCTTAATGATGGCATTCAGGATGTCACCCTGAAGACATTTGTCACCCACATACAATACAAAGTCTTTAAAACTGGCTCAAACTTTGGCAGCAATTTTTCTGAAGAAGCAACCCAAATGCTCCCGAGCCATTGAGGTTCACATCCTGCTTACACCCTATGGAAACCTGGAGCCTCTGAACCTGCTTCTTTCCCCTTGAGTCTTGCTCAGAATTAAACCAGGTCCTGCTTACATTCCAGAGTTATGTCTCATCAGAGGACTCGGGTCTGCTTCTTACATAACCAGTCTCTGAAGAATTTGATTGCTTCAGCCTTTGCTATTAGAGTCAATCCCACCAATGACTTTTGCTATTAAATCAAAGCCAGCCACAGTCTCAGGATGAAATGTGGCAGGTAAGATGGCTGGGAACCAGGTCGCATCCTCTGGGGGCTCCAGAAAGCTACTTCCTCTGTAGAGAAGTGGAGCAGGTCTATAGCTTAGCCTGCAAAAGTCCAGGATGCATGAGGGCATGGGGCCCCCGGGAGCTCCCAGAGCCAGGCACCTGGCTCCAGAGCGTGGCCACCTTGCTCTAGGAGGTCCTAGAAAGGTGACGGCCATTGATCCCAGGCATGGCTTTGTGATAAGCAGGGAATAATCAGGGGTCTAAGCTGAAATGTTAACCAGTTTCCTATCTTCTAAAATAAACTGGGGTTATTTTATCCCTTTCATCCCACCTTCAGAATGCTGGCTGGTCACCATGAAGGCTTTAGTGGGCACACTCTGCACCCATGCCCCAAATCGCTCTGTTGGGCTCAGGGGAGCAGGAGAGGAGAAGGGCCCCGAGGGCAGTAGCCCCTGATCCAAGACCTGAGATGACTGTGCCCATTCTCTCGCCACAGGCGGAGGATTAAAAAAGACATTTAGTCAGTGCCAGGAAAGTCACTTAAAATAACATTTAATTTACAAAGTAATACACTCTAAGATTTCCTTTGAGCCTCAAGTTCACTCAGGGCAGAGATGCTAGAATTAATTTCCAAAATTTTTGTAATGAATTAAAAAAACAGAATTTCAGACGGATCTCTGAAAGGAAGAAAGCTCCCAGGACTATTATTGACAATGGGAGGTCAGGCACACAGAAAGCAATTTAAACTGCTCAGAGTGCTTTCTCGCTCGCTCTCTCACTGGGTTCCTGTTCCTATTTGACAAATGAGAAAACCTGAATCCCAGAGAGCGGGAATGACTACCCTGGAGTCCTGCAACCCGTGAGCAGCAGAACCCTGGTTCCTGGTTTCACTCAACCAGGAAGGAAAACATAACCAGACCAGGCTGAAATGGTCATCACTTAATTTTGGATCAGACCGGCAGTTCTGCCCTTGCGTGCCACAGACCTTGCCGAAGCTGCCTTTGCCCAACACCTTGATGAAGTTGAACTCATCCAGGCCCAAGCGCTTGGCCTGGCCTTGCCGGATTTCACCATTTTCACCCAGGCTCGCCAGCTGACCATCGGTGGACGAGGCTGCCCTGTGCTCCTCCCCTCGATTGTCAAATGACAAGGCCTTCCGGATGTTGTTTTCAAGTTCTTTTATTTCTAAGACCAAGGGTGACAAGATATTGCGTTAGTGCGCACCTCACAAGCCCTTCCTGTTAGGATCTGATATTCAAAATGTTCCCCCTGCACATGACTCTCAACCCCTCCCTCTGGTTCTTCACAGCAACAGACCCAGCGAGGCATTCCTATAAGTCCCTTCATTTGTGCTGCACACTTTCACTGGCACCTAATTAATGTACAGCAAGGCCTAGGAACACAAAGAGGAGAACAACATGGTCCCTGCCAATCCTCTCCTTCAGATCTGCCTTTTATTCTGGGACCGGGCCACCTCTCTGAAAGCCCCCTTCTGCTGGTAGCCTGTTGCATTGTTCTAGGTGTAATGTAGGAATCCTGGCCTCCCAAGGGCAATAGGGACCCTTCAAGATTCCTTTGAAAATTAAAACAATGACTAATGGAAAACTGCTGTCACAGTAATTATTGGTGAGGTAATTATTTCAATAACTGGGACTAAGAAGTCTTTACCTTCTAAGGGACTTTATTTGGCTTTATTGCTGGGTTTATTCTAAATACCCATATTCCATAAGGTTATTTAACCAAATGAGCAGTGGGCTTATCGTTAACAAAAGAATTGTGTCCCAAGAGTGACATGTTGCAAATTTATCTTGGATGGGGCAGGAATTCCTCAGCAGTTTCATAACTATGACACAGCCTTGTGCTGCTGCAGAGTATGTGACCTGAATTAACCTGGGGATGATAATGCTGGGTGACCCTTTGACCTTTTCTATTTGAGAAAACTTTGTTGTTAGCTATACATTCACCAAGACATACACTCCTTTGTGTAGAAGTGGACATCTTGAGCAGAATCCAACTTTGAAAGCTGCTTGTGAATAACTGGGATCACAGGGGGGAAACAAACTATTAACCTTTGGGAATCAGAATCAAGCAGGGGTGATCAGCGGCTGCTTGACATAAAGACAACTTTGGCTCCTTTACAGAAGGACTGAGGCCTATGAAAGCTCCATGATCTGCAGGCTTGACTTCTCTGAGATGTGTCGGGACAGAGTGCAGAGGAGAGGTGAGGACAGCTTCCAAGTCTACAGATATGCCCATGCCAGCTCCGCAGTTTTCTATCACTTGCTCTTAACTAAGTATAACTTTTGCTCTCAGCATAGAGCTTCTGCTCACAACTTGCAAGCGAGTTATTAAACGAATTTTGGAAGACAGAACTTGGATATTAAAACTTGAAGAAAATATCTTTCTATGTGTTCTTACAACAGAGAGAAGAGGAGTTGTGCCTTATTTCAGTTCTACAATAATGTACTGTCTTGCTAAGAAGGTTTTCACATCTGTTTGTCCTCACAACATGGCTGGGAAATACTGTACCTTCACGGACGGGGGACAAAAAGAGGTCCTGAGGGGCATGGTGTCCTGCCGAGGCTGGACAGCAGGCTGAACAGGAACCAGGCCTACAAACCCAGTTGCTTCATGCTTGCCTGGGGGTTCTTTATCATGTGACTCTGTCCCCTTGAAGCTCTCAAAGGAGCTCTCAGCCTTAAAAAAGCAAAACCTGAAAATACTCCCATTGGACGGGGACAGCATCTGCTTGTTTGGAGGCCCCGGGGAAACACTGGATTATTTACAAAGGGCTCAAACCTCTTTTGAAAGGAAGCAGAGTATAAAGGTGCAGAAAGTTAATCAGAGAAGCATGAAGAAGGACTCAGATCAATTCTTTTGTGACCTCAGGACTGGCATACCCACTGCAGCTGTTTTATTTACTTCTGGGGAAGAAGGGCTGGGTTGCAGTGATGACCTCCATAGAGGGTTCCATGGCAAGGCTTCTGAGAATGGGGTCCCTAGGCCATAAGGGGTGACATCTCACCTATACCACTGACTCAGTTCCTGACCTTTGGACAAAACTTTTTAACTTTCTGCCTTCCACTTCTCACCTTGTAACCTGGGGACAGTAGGGGAGCATAGACAGAGAGTTGGCTTGAGTGAAGAATGAGGATAAGGAAGACAAAAGGGGCTATAGAACATCAAGGCACTATTGTTCTGACTTGTTAATGATTATTCCTGTTCTGCAGATGCAAACATCCCTTCCCAGGGAGATCTGGTTCTGGTTACCAGAGGGGAAGGTCTAAAATGTATATATCCCTCCTCAGTCTTGGCATCCTTGGATGCTTGCAGAATTCAGAAACCTTTGATAACTCTCAGCATATTCTGATGGAGAAGGAGACATCCTGAGCTGAGCTCTAGAGGGGAGTCAGGTGCAGAGCTGGCTTCTAGCAGGCTCTGCCAGCTTCACCTTCCTATCCCCACCCACCCATCTCCGGACTCCTGCCCTGATCTCAAGTTTTGGGTATGATGGTGAAGTTCAGGGAGGAAGGAAGTCAGATACAACTCAACTGAGCGGTGCTGATGGGGCTGGGAGCAGAGCTGGGCAGTGTGGTGAGAGAAGGGCCGCGCTCTCTGCCTCTCCTGCACGTGGAAGCTGGGAGACAGGCGAGAGAAAAGAAAAGAACCACAGCTCCCCACCTCTCTCTCTTCTATCCTGCCTGGGAATGATGTCAGGGTGGCAGAGCCATTTAGTGCCACACTCTCAAGCCTTGGACTCCTTGGCCTTTCCAAGGACAGAGCTCAGAGGTAAAGAAGCAAATCTGAGGGTCTCACCCTGGTCACAGGGGGAGGTGGGGGCCGACTTGGATCGATCTTCCTCAGACGGTGAGCTTCCAGAAGCAGGCTGTGGGGACTCAGCACCAGCAATGAGCTACAGAGAGGGAGAGAACGAGGGGAGAAAGGGTTCAGAAAGGAGATGGGGAGTTTCCCTAAAGTCAAAAGCATCGAGATATGATGCCAGGGGCTATAGCAGTCCCTGGTGCACAGTAGCTCTTGCTGAATTGATCATCTGAAAGCAGAGACTCAAGGGTTCCTTTGTCAATTAAAGGAAAGAAAACAAGTGATGTCAGCTAGTTTAATTTTTATTCTACCCAAATACAACTGACTTTTCCAAGAAAAACTCAACCTTACCCCTTCCATGAAACTTCTCTTGCCTACCCAAGCAATGCTAGTTGTCTCATCCAGAGCAACTTGACAGCTGCTTGGTATTCATTCCCTACCTTGTTCAGCTTTATTTAATTTGGGATCTCTACTCAGGTAGACTGTAGTTCTCTGAAGGTTAAGAGCCTATCTAGTATTTGTATTGCCCCTGGGGATCGCACAGAGTGAGGCACATAACAGAAGCTCGATAAGCATTTTCAGATGTGTCAATATTTGTCGGCAATCAGGAAATCTTTAGCAGGACATCCTCCAGGAAGTCTATTTCTTGGCCTAGATGCTGGTATAGTCACACTAAGTCCCCATTAAAGGCAGAAGTCTGCACTCAGGAGATCACAAGCACGTCTGTTCCCCTTTACTCTTGATCTACCCGCTGTCCACACACATCACTTCTGGATGATCAGCTGCTTGCAAGGGGCGCTATGAAGGTAACTCAGGCTCCAGAAAGCCTGACGCTCCCACGTAGAAGCTCCCTCAGCTTCTGGCCAAGGGCACTTGTCTCCCATCCTCTTGTACTAACTCAAGGTACTACTTGGTTTGCTTGACTTTTTCCAGCTTTTGCATCAGAAGCAACACAGCAGTAAAACTCTCAGGACTGAAGTCTCTTAGTCTCTGACTCTGCTCCTTCCTTATTTTCTCCATGTTGACTTCTTAGCACCAGGATCTCCCAAAGCCAAGACAGGCAGACAATGCCTGGTTACTTTCATTACAGGCCACGTAAATACAGGGGAGGGGGCAGGTATTGAGTTTTCTCTGAAATGTTCCATGACAGTAAAGATTCCAACTCAGTTTACTTCTCAGTTCAGTTCAGTCGCTCAGTCATGTCTGACTCATTGCGACCCCATGAACTGCAGCATGCCAGGCCTCCCTGTCCATCACCACCTCCCAGAGTTCACCCAAACCCATGTCCATTGAGTCAGTGATGCCATCCAACCATCTCATCCTCTGTTGTCCCCTTCTCCTCCTGCCCTCTATCTTTCCCAGCATCAGGGTCTTTTCACATGAGTCAGCTCTTCGAATCAGGTGGCCAAAGTATTGGAGTTTCAGCTTCAACATTAGTCCTTCCAATGAACACCCAGGACTGATCTCCTTTAGGATGGGTTGGTTGGATATCCTTGCAGTCCAAGGGACTCTCAAGAGTCTTCTGCAATACCACAGTTCAAAAGCATCAATTCTTCGGTGCTCAGCTTTCTTTATAGTCCAACTCTCACATCCATACACAACTACTGGAAAAATCATAGCCTTGACTAGACAGACCTTTGTTGACAAAGTAATGTCTCTGCTTTTTAATATGCTGCCTAGGTTGGTCATAACTTTCCTTCCAAGGAGTAAGCTTTTTTTAATTTCATGGCTGCAATCACCATCTGCAGTGATTTTGGACCCCAAAACAATAAAGTCTGCCACTATCTCCACTGTTTCCCCATCTATTTGCCATGAAGTGATGGGACTGGATGCCATGATCTTAGTTTTCTGAATGTTGAGCTTTAAGCCAACTTTTTCACTCTCCTCTTTCACTTTCATCAAGAGGCTCTTTAGTTCTTCTTCACTTTCTGCCATAAGGGTGGTGTCATCTGCATATCTGAGGTGACTGATATTTCTCCCGGCAATCCTGATTCCAGCTTGTGCTTCCTCCAGCCCAGCATTTCTCATGATGTACTCTGCATACAAGTTAAATAAGCAGTGTGACAATATACAGCCTTGACATACTCCTTTTCCTATTTGGAACCAGTGTGTTGTTCCATGTCCAGTTCTAACTGTTGCTTTCTGACCTGCATACAGGTTTCTCAAAAGGCAGGTCAGGTGGTCTGGTACTCCCATCTCCTTCAGAATTTTCCACAGTTTATTGTGATCCACACAGTCAAAGGCTTTGGCATAGTCAATAAAGCAGAAATAGATGTTTTTCTGGAACTCTCTTGCTTTTTCGATGATCCAGCGGATGTTGACAATTTGATCTCTGGTTCCTCTGCCTTTTCTAAAACCAGTTTACTTCTGGCAAGGAACAAAATCATGTCTGCCGAACAGGACTCTCTGTAGAGCCCGTACATTTGTGTGTTCAGCACTGTCATCACAGGGTGTTTGTCTAACCTGCCTTCTGGGTGGGGCCTCAGCATTAGGGGTTCTGACATTCTGCTTGTAGCTTCAATGTCCTGGGTCAATAACTGAAGTCCTGCTTCTACCAGTGGGACTGTCAAGAGCTGAGAAGAGCCACCAGAAGCACAAAAATCTCACGTTAGTCAGGAGGAAAGGGTGTTTTTTCCTCTAAACCTTACAAAATAGCTCTGTTTATTGGAAAGGTAAAGAAGAAAATGCTTAAGAAGATGGAAACAACCAAACCTTCCCATTCAAGGGAAAAGCCTCCTCTGAGAGGCAGCAGGGAAAAGGCATGGGCAGCTTCTAGAACAAGAAGGGAAACACAAAGCCCTTCAGAAAGTATTTCAAGGGAAAATTTAGGGACAACATTTAGGAGCTAAGACTGTCGAGGCACCCAGAGTCAGGCTTGTTTTTTAGTAAAAAAAAAAAAGAAAAGTACTGGGCAATGAGAGCCACTTGCCCATACCACCCCACCAGGATTTCTTGCCCAGTTAACATGGTTCTCATTTTTTTCGTTAATTTACTCTTTCAGAGACCTCTTACATTTTTTAGGCTAGGAGCCAAGGCTAGGACGAGCCTTCAAACAAAATGCTAGAGATATCTTTAGCACTGTTTACATCTGTGGGCCCTGACTTACCAAAATAACATTTTAGCAAATGGATCTTTTCCTACTGACATTCGGAATGTCACACAGATAGAGACAGGGCTTTGGTCACCAAAGACAGGCCCAGATGTTTCATGTCGTGGGACATTAACAATATTCCTCGGGCAGCCAAGTGCCAGCACTATCACAAATCTTCTTGGCTTGCTCCCTAGAAAAGAATGTGTTTCCAGCTCTTCATCCATTTATCCTCATTACAGCGATACCAGAGGCAAAGTTCAAATGTGAACATTGCTCTCATGCCAGTCTTGGAGGCAGATAAGGCTACTTCCCTGTCTAGAACTGAGTCTTTTCTGGAGGGAATCCCAGAATCCTTGCCTCAAAGGTGATGTACCCCTAAGAAACACAACACCTGAGACTTGCTTGGCTTTTCCTCACCTCTGGAATCAAAGGAGACTTTTGTGTTACCTGCATGACTTTTCCCTCTTTGTTTTCTTTAAGCACATGCTGTTTCAAGTCCAGCATCTCAACCCAGCAGGCTCAGAACTATACTCCAAGGGACTCTCAGGAAGATAGCACAGAGATGCTGGCTCACTTGGAGCTCCAGAAACATCACCCAAGAACCACTTACCTTTTTCCTCCTCTGGCCACTATTGGTGATCTTGTCTGGAGTAACACCCAGGTCAGCCAACACCTTAGCGATACCCCTGGCATCCACGCCACAGTTGGGAGCCACGTTGGTCTCACAGCGCCGGTGAACGTTCATCTTGCAGACTGTAAGGAGACACGGAGGAGAGGCTTCCAAAGGGTCATGGCCTAAAATGTTACCTTATTGTGCTCTGATCGTAAAAGGAACACACGTTCATTTGTTAGAATTTGGAAAATGCAGGAAGACAAAAAAAGAAAAATAAAAATATCACCCATCATCCCCTCACACAGATCTAAAATCAATCACCTCACAGAGATAATTAGGCTACGGATAAATAAAAATCACCCTGAAATTTCCTTTCAGGGAGCAGAACACTGACCGTAGAATTTAATTGGTTTCTCTGAAGAAAGTTCATTTGGATGCTGAACCCGAATGGGTCCCCTGTATACAATGCACTATATATTACTCTGCTGTAATGTGGGAATGTTCCCAAGAGAGGAGTACTCACAGTAGACAGCCTATAAAGAAGCTCATCTCTAAAAATGAGGAGCCTGAATAGCGTGACCCCCAAGGTCCCTTTCAGACCCAAAATCTGGATTCAAAGGACAAAGGCCATGCTTGAAGTTTGTTCTTGCTTCATCTGCATCACTTAAGCTGACCTTGGTGCAGGACATCCAAGCTGAAAACATAAACTGTTTTGGTCTCCAGTCCAGCATGTGAGGAGCTTGGAAGTTGTTGCTCTGTCCTAACGAGTAAAAAGCTGAACAAACTGGAAAATCAACAACTCTTCTTAAGATTTAACAGAGAAGTAACATCACAGGGCAAACCGCTGCCCTGTGGGAGAGACAGATACGGATCATAACTCAGTGGAACAGAAACTCCCAAGCAGCAACCCAGTGGAAAGCCAGCACAGGGAAGGGAAGCCTGCCCTAAATGGTGAACCGTCGAGTCCCAGCGTGGGCGGTCTGTCAAAGACTCTAGGCTGACCCCGTCACAGGGTCCCCCCACTTTTCTGAGTTTTACCTCCAGTTGTTTGACCATGTTCTCACAGTGAATATTGGAGAAAGAAATCCCTCACGCTGATCACAGGGAGAGAGGGAAGGAATTCTGAAACACAGCAGAGCTCCCTGTTCTTAACAAGGCTGGCTCTTAGAAGAAGCTGTTTCATCAGAGACTAAACCACTATAGCTTTATCAGATCCTAAGCAACCTAGGGGAAGGAAAATACCGAACTCCAAACTGTGTTAGCTATCCAGTCCTATACAAGGTGGGGGGAACCCTGAGAAACATGTATAACGCTCACAGTTCAGAGAAACAGGTTCACACGAAGACTGAAATCTAATCTCAGGACTACAGAATGCTTCCCCTCCCCCAGCACCTTACCACCATGATACTAAAGGCCTATTACTGCTGTTCCTGTTACTTGACATTTCACATCTGACTATCCCTCTCTCACACACACAAATATGAGGCATATTAAAAGGAACAAAACAAGGCAAGAAGCAGAACCAGACTCAGACATGGCAGGGTTGCTGGAATAAGCAGGCCAGGAATTTAAAACAACTATGATTAATATGCTAAGGGTATATGTCAATAGAAATTTTTAAAACAGAAAAACAAAAGGAGAAATACTGGAAAAAAAGATATAGAACATCTAAGAAATATAGAACAGTTGCAAAAGGTGTAACATGTGTATGGGAATACTAGAAGGAGAAAAAAAAAGGGAAAAGTGAAAAAAAAATTTTGAAGTAAAAATGACTGAGAAGGCCCTCAAATTAAATTCAGATACCAAACTACAGACCCAGGAAGCTTAGAGAACAGCAACAAATGACAGAAAAGAACAGGATAAATGAAAAAGAACAAAACAAAACCAATGTCAAGCTACATCTAGGCATATCATATACAAGCTGCAGAAAATCAAAGATAAAGAAAAATAATCCTGAAAGAAGCCAGAAGGAAATAACACCTTACCCAAAGGAAAGCAAAGACAAGCATTACATCTGACTTCTCAGAAACCACATAAGCAAGAAGAGAGTAGAGTGAACTATTTAAAGTACAATAAATCCCCTTCATATGAACTAGCTCTGTTCCAAGAGCATGTTCATAAATCCAATTAAGTCCAATAAAGTTAGCCTAGGTACTCAACTAACACAACTGGCTATGTAGCACTGTACTGTAATAGATTTATAATATTTGCTTATAAACGACAAATATAAAAGTAAAGGAAACATTTTCAATCTTACAGTACGGTATCTAATACTCTCGTAGTGCCCCAGTGCCTTGAAAAGTATAATAGTGAGGTACAACAGCTGGCGATTCCCAGCGGAGACAGTTACACCAACACTGCCTTTACACTTGCTCCTGGACACCTGGACGTGAAATAAAGTTCCTGTGCTACTGCACCTTACACAGGACACAGAAGCACAGCACTCACAGAGGGGCACACACGTGGCAATGTATACCGGGCATGTGACTCACCTACACGGCTGGTCATGCGGACACACACTCACACCTTTGAAAGCTAGCAACCTCAAGGTTCATATGTAGCGGACCTACTGCACTGAGAGGGGGGAAAATGCAGAATTCTGTACCCTGTGACATTATCCTTCAAAAGTGAAGGAGAAATAAAGACTTCCTCAGACCAATAAAAATTGAGGAGCTTTACTGCCAATAGCCCTGCCTAGCAAGAAGTGTTAAAAGAAGCTCTTCAGAAAGAAGGAAAGAGCTATCAGTCGTTTTCCGTCCTTCAGTCATCAGAAACTCAGATCTGCATAAAGAAAGGAAGAACACCAGAGGAGGAATAAGTGATGGTAAAATACAAACTTTTATTTTTTAAATTCTTACTTGACCTAACAGATAATTTTTCAAGATAACAATAGCAATGATGTTTTCAATTATTATGCTTATATATATCACATGTATAGAAAATATACGCTTATGTATAAATGAAATGAATGACAATGATATGAGGAGGAGGACAGAAAAATAAAAAATACTTTGTTATTATAAGGTATTAATACTTGCACCTGGGGCTTCCCAGGTGGCATGAGAAGTAATGAACCTGCCTGCCAATGCAGGAGACATAAGAGATGCTGTTTTGATCCCTGGGTCAGGTAGATCCCCTGGAGGAGGAAATGGCAACCCACTCCAGTATTCTTACCTGGAGAATCCCATGGACAGAGGAGCCTGGCAGGCTACAGTCCAAGGGGTTGCAAAGAGTCGGATACAACTAAAGCAACTCATCACACATGCAATACTTGCGCTGTCAAGTATTAGAGCATTATTTGAAAGTGGACTTGGATTAGTTATAAATGTATACTGCAAACTCTAGGGCAACCATGAAAATAAGTTTTAAAAAATTACAGAAGAATGGATATGCTAAGAAAAGGGAAAAAATGGAATCTTACAAATTGTTCAATTAAAACCACAAAAGGTGGAAAAATGTGAAAGACAAAAATAGAAACAAAGAGCAAGGGCATCAAATGGAAAACAATAACAAAAAAGATGGTTATTAATCCAAATATGTTGAAAATCACTTTAAATGTCAATGGTCTAAATACATTGAGTAGAAGACAGAGATTGTCAGAGTGGATCAAGAAAGAAAACCCAGTACATATTATCTAGAATAAACACACTTTAAATATGTAAGATACATATAGATTAAAATTAATGTATGAAGAAAGATACACCATGCTAATGCTAATTAAAAGAAAGCAGGAGTAGCTACATTAATTTCTGATAGAGCAGACTTCAGAGCAAGGAAAGTTATCAGAGATATCAAAGGGCACAATAAGGGACAATTTTCCAAGAAGACATTAAAATCACACTCCTGGTATTTACTCAAATGAGTTGAAAATGTAGGTCTACACAAAAACCAGCATATGGATGTGCACAACAACTGTATTCATAATTATGAAAACTTCAAAGCAACTAAGATGTCCTTCAGTAGCTGAACAACTAAATTGTGGTACATGCATATAACTGAATATATGTCAGTACTAAAAATATATTAGCTATTAAACCATGAAAAGACATAAAAGCACCTTAATTGCATATTACTAAGTGGAAGAAGCCAATCTGAAAAAAAACTATACATTTTATATAGCTCTTACTACATGACATCCTCCTCCATGACAGAAAAGCAAGACTGTGGACTTGTAAAAGGATCAGGGATTGTCAGTGGCTGCAGGGGAGGCAGGGAAGAATAAATAGCCAAAGCACAGAGGATTTTCAGGACAGTGAAACTACTATGTATAAATACTATAAGGATGGGTAAAACATGTTGTACACTTGTCCAAACCCACAGGGTGTCTAGTACAAAGAGTGATCCCTAATGTAAACTGAGGGATAATGATGCGTCAATGCAAGTTCATTGATTTAACAAATGTATCACTCTGGTGTGGATACTGATAGTGAGGAAGGCTGTCTGTGAGTGGGGGTAGGAGGGTATGCTGGAAATCTTTGTACTTGCTCCTCAAGTTTGCTCTGAACCTAAAACTACTCCAAAAGCTAAAGTCTATTAACACAGATACACACACACAAACTTTCTGGAATCAAACCAGGCAGGATGATCAGACCTAAGGGTTCTGCACTACCTGACCACTGACTTGGAGGAGGGACAGCATTGACCCTACTCTCCTTCATCTCCAACCCAGGCTTGAAGAGCTCAAGTGAATTACATGGCTGAAGGTGCCCACAGAGCCAAAGGCAGGAATATGGGGGTAGGGGAGCTGATGGGAGGGCAGCTTTCTCAGGCAATATAATCAAAAAGAAAGCTCCACCACAGCCTGACCATGGTGCCACCTACATTAATTGAGTTATTACTAAAAATGCTCAAAAATCCTCAGACCCATGCCAGACTCCAGGCAACAGCACTCTGAATTCTCTGTCCCACTGCCCTTAGCAAAGCTATTCTCTGACACTCAGCTCAGCTCATCTGCACCTGTCCAGCCATCTTATCTCATACAAATTCTCTTCTGTCTCTTCTTGAAGTGACAGAATGGACAAGAATGAAGCAACCGAATGAAGAAAGAATTTCGTAGCATGGGTAGTTTATCTATGTGATTTAGCCGCTGGCGCCCTCTGGTGTTGTAACACCAGACCTGTCCATCCTAATGAAACAAATT